TCGCTGTCCAACGCAGCCCCTCCCACACTGTCCCCCTGCAGGTGGCGGGAAGGCCAAGGTCTCTGGCAGGCCCAGCAGCCGGAAAGCCAAGTCCCCGGCCCCGGGCCTGGTGTCTGGGGACCGGCCGCCCTCTGTGTCCTCCGTGCACTCCGAGGGAGACTGCAACCGTCGGACGCCGCTCACCAACCGCGTGTGGGAGGACCGGCCCTCGTCCGCAGGTGGGCATGGGGCGGGGCGGGCTGGGGCTGGGGGCAGCCTCCCTCGGGAGGTGGGCGTCGTCAGGATGCCCAGCACAGAGCACCTACTGCGTGCAGAGTGCAGCCAGGTTGTCCGGGGCCTGGCCCCTGAGTCCTCACTCAGTAGAGGTGCTTCCTGCAGGAGCACAGGTGGAGGGTGTGGCCAGGGCCATCCGGGGAGCCCCGTAACCCCAGCGCTTCGGAAGGCCGAGGTGGGAGGATCGCTTGAGCAGGAGTTCGAGACCAGCCTGGGCAACACAGCGAGACTTCATCACTACAGAAAGCTAAAACATTAGCTAGGCGTGGTGGTGTGTACTTGTAGTACCAGCTCCTAGGGAGGCTGAGGCGGGAGGCTCACTCGAGCCCAAGAGGTCGAGGCTGCAGCGAGCTGTGATCACACCACGGCACTCCAGCCTGGGTGACCGAGTTAGACCCTGTCCGTCTCAGAAAAATGAAACAGACCAGGATGCAAGGGCCAGCGTGGACCTGGTGGAGGGTCGGCCCCTGGAGGCCAGATCGGAGAACACAGGGCAGGAGCGGGGAGGAGTCTGCTGCCACAGCCGGGGGAGCCAGACGGGCCTTGAGTGGGGTGAATGGAGGCAAGCCTAGAAGCGGCAGGGCGGGGCTTGCCGCCGGCCAGGAAGGCCGAGGCCCGTCCCGGGGTGGAGGGCGGGTGGCCGGCCGGGCAGCCCTGTGCCCAGCAGCCCCCGGCTTCTCCCCATCTCTCTCGCAGGGTCCACGCCGTTCCCCTACAACCCCCTGATCATGCGGCTGCAGGCGGGCGTCATGGCCTCCCCGCCGCCGCCGGGCCTCCCTGCGGGCAGCGGGCCCTTGGCCGGGCCCCACCACGCCTGGGACGAGGAGCCCAAGCCCCTGCTGTGCTCGCAGTACGAGACGCTCTCTGACAGCGAGTGACCCCGCGTGGGCTGGGGGCGCTGGGCCCCGCCGGGCAGGAGCGGCCCGACGGGATGGGCGGCTGCTGACTCCCCCCC